GGTCTTAGCAGAGTATGTTGGCTGCCAGTTCAGAACAACTGCCAGAGAGTGCTGAAAGGAGAAATTGTGAAAAAACAATTCTGAGTGAGGCCTGAAGCACTTCAGGGAGCATTTCAGATTGGATCTTTTTTAAATCAGATGGTCCCTGGGGATGATACCAAGTCATGAGAGGTGCCATTTGTTGTTTTCCTCAGGTTCAACGCCACTTAAGACCATAAGCTAAGGGCCCTTAGGAATGAAACAGAATCCTATGTCGGACCCCACTTCTCCCAGGCTCAGAAGCCGAGTAGGCCTTCAAAATAATGATTCATTCAAGTTCATAGTTGAGGGCATTGTATATAAAAGAAGTGATGTATCTAAGAACTGATAATTCAAGAATACAACTGGTCCTAAGGCACCCTTGTAGCAGGTATTCATTTGTTGATGATTCTGTTGGTGGCACAGCTGTGATTGCTGAACCTCATTGTATCAGGTGGCTCTTGCTATGAACAGGCTGTGTAACAAACTGCCCCCCAAACCCATAGCCTACAATGAAGGCATCCTCCTCTTAGTCCCGGGTTTGCTGGTCTCAGCTCTGGGGTTGGGGGTTGGGGTTGGGTTTGTTCTCCTGCCTCGTTCTTCTCTGACTAGCAGCTGCTCTGACGACTGTTCTCATGGTGAATCGGTGTCGTGTAAGAGGGCAAGCCGGATGGCAAAAGCGCTTTTGCAGCCTCTGTGTCATATCGTGCCTGGGAACGTACCTCTGGCCGAAGCAGATTGCATGGACAAACCCCGCATTAATGCTGCGTGGAAGTACATTCCATCCATGTGGAAGGAACTGCTGAGTTACACGGCAGAGGGCACGGTGTCTAATTTTAATACAGGGATGGCATGAAAGCCAAGAGCCATCATGCAGTCCCCCGCACTGTGTTAGGGTTTCCAGTTTGTGTCTTCCCCTCCCCTTCCTTCCAGGAAGGGGAGAGAACTCCTCCCTTGCCTCCCTCCTTTCTCTCCTCTCCTCCCTTCTTTTCCTTCTAACTTCCTTCTTTCTTTTGTATACCTAATATAAATATACATAATATAAAAATTGCTGTCTTAACCATTTCTTAATATTCAGTTCTTTTTGTGGCATTAATTACATTCACATGGTTGTGCAGCCATCACGATAATCTATCCTGAGAACTTTTTAACTTTCCAAACTGAAACTCTGTCCCCATTAAATGTGAACTCCTTATTTCCCCCTTCCCAGCCCCAGACAGCTGCCATTCTGCTTTATGTGTCTATGAATTTGACTAGGTACTGCATATACAGAGAATTATATAATATTTATCCTTCTGTGACTGGCTTATTTCACTTAGTGTAATGTCTTCAAGATCCATCCATGTTGTAGCATGTGTCAATTTTCCCTTCCTTTTTAGGGCTGAGTGAGATTTCATTTTATGGATATACCACAGTTTGGTTATCTGTCCATCTGTTAATGGATACTTGAGATTATTTCCACTCTCCTGATTCTTTCGTCACCGAGTTCCTGTTTTCACTATGGCTAAAGCCACCTGACTTCATCTCATAATCTTTTCCATCCCAGATTCTGAGTCCATTCATTTATTCATCAGTTCAACAAATACTATTTAAGCACCTACTATGTGCCAGCAGTGTTCTAAGGGAACCTGAAATCTCTCAGTACTTAGAGTCATGCTATGTGGTGGCCGATAATTACATGTGGCTGTTTAAGCATAATATACTAAAAGTGAAATAGATATTTTAAATGCAGTTTCCCAGTTGCAGTAGCTGCATTTCAAGTGATTAATAGCCACTTGCGGCTCATGGCTACTGTACTGGACAGCACTGACTTAGAGGCTAATAGGGAAAGCCAAATAGTAGTGGTACAGTGACAGCTCTCTCCTCCTGGAAACTCTCCTCTTAAAACCATAAGCATATCAGGGTCACCTTGTGAGTGCAAGCTTGCCATGGTTTGTTAGTTCTGGGTTTGAGCAACAAGCCAGCCAAGCAGAGCCCTTCCTCAGCACTTGGGAAGATAAACTGAGCAAGGGATTGAGTTTCTCTTGTCAGTGGCAAATTTATCCCCAGGAGTCATTTGCCCAAGTCTGGAGACAGTTTTGATTGTCACAGCTTGAAGGAGAGGAAGGTGCTCCTGGCATTTCATCTAGTTGGAAGAGGCTGAGGAAGCTGCCCACTTCCTACAGTGCACAGGACAGCCCCTGTGGCAAAGAACTGCATAGCCTCAAGGTGTAGTAATTCCAAACTTGCAATAGGCTCATGCTCCTGGTAAAACAGTTGAAGATAAGGACGGGGAACTGAGAGCCAGATTTTCCAGCATGTGAAAGAAGCTGGTGCACAGGAGAGAAAAGGAATCCAAGAGATGGAGGGACTCCTGATGGTGCTCCAGTTTCCACTTCCCTTGTTCCCAAAGCCAGCCCCCTTCCTTTGCTTGGGTTCTGGGAAGAACCTCAGTATTACAAAATTTTACTCTTTCACCTAAATTATTTTGAATTGGATTTTAGCCTTTTGCTAAATGTTCCTAATTCAGGGAGTATTTCAACCATTGTTTCTTTTAGTTGTATCCTGTAAATTGGGCATTCCATTTAAGGCATGAAGCGTCCAACACATAGTAGGCATTCAGTTGCAGCACGCTCATGGTGATGTTAAGAATAGATTCCAAATACATGGTTACATTCCTTTTATCAAATGTTATTTTAAACAAACTTTGGGGTCTCATCATATTTTACTCATGGTCTCTTAGTTGGTGATGATCTTAGTCCTTCGTGTTTTTAGGAAACCAAAGGGCACCAGTAAAATACCTTTTTAAAAACAGATCTCGGCCTGCAGAGGCAGCGTCTGAGGACTTTTGGCATTGTATCACCTATATGGATGGGAAGACCTGTATGTACTTACAGGGGGACATTTGATCTTTTTAAAGAAAACTGAGTTTTAATCACTTGGAAAACGTGTCAATTAACATGATTCTCCAAAATCAACAGCCCGAGACTTTGATTTTATCACTCAAGAAATCTTTGACAAAAGGTCCATGGTAGTGACACATGTTTTCTTGGAGATTTTAATCAAGAGGAATAAATGCATAGGAAAATAAGCTTTAATGTCCTACACAAATGTATTTTAGGATACTCTGTTAATTGTCACAGCCCCCTAGGAAATAATTTAGTACAAAATCACAAATAGTACAATTAATGTACTGTGAAGCTATATAAAAATATGATTTAAGTGGTCTGATCTAGAATGTTCATACAGAAAAAGTATTTACCTGTATTTAAAATGATAAAGGAATATAGATGTGGAATACCAAATTCAAACAGTGCCAAAAAGTATATAGTGAAAATCTCTGATCCCCTGACTTCTCCAGTTCTCCTAGGTGGAACCATCATTAATGGTTTCTTGTTCTAGAACTTATTTATACTAGATAACATATTATTTTTCCTCTTCCCTTTCTCTCCTTCCTTTTAAAAAATATAGAGAAAAAGAGAAAGCAGTATGTATTTTTGATGATATGTACATATCAGTTTCTGCTCTTTACTATTTTTAGTTAATATTTACAGCTCTATCTTGAACTGGTTTATATACACACACTTCACCTTTGTGTCACTGTTCCATACATAATTCATTTACGTAGTCCTCTGCTGATGAGCATCAAGATTCTTTCCAGCCTTTTGTTTTTACAAATGATGTTGCAATGAGTAATACGTTCTTATACCTTGATCTTTATGCTAATATAATTATGTTTATAAAATAAAATCACAGTAGTAGGCTTTGGATTCAGAAGGTAGGTACATTTTGTTTTTATTACATACTGCCAAATTGCCCTTGCAGAAAGATGCAGCATTTTCACTTTAGCCAACTGTATATGGGCATGCCTAAAATTTCATCCCATTATGTCCGTCCCATTTTCACCTACCCATTTCTCTTTCCAATTTGTGTTTCTATCTTCAAATCTAGTCTAGAAGCTCAGAGGCCTTTAATTGAAGGGTTTATCTTATTGAAGTATGTAGAATGCAAATCACAGGAGCATTCTTGAAAGGCACCAACCTGTCCCCTTTGAGAGCACTGCCGGAATTTCCTCCCTGGCAGAGGTACGCAGTACCCCTGGGCACCCACCTCCCTTTCCCTTTCAGCTTCATCTGGGTAAAATCCCCTTCTTTATCCTTTCCTCCCTTCATTCCTGGGAGGCTTTTAAGAGCTGGTACTCATCTGTAGGGCCTGAGAAGTCAAAGTCAGTTCACTTGTCTTGGGGGGGCTTGCCAGTACTTAGAGATAGGCACAGCCGGACCACTGCACCCTTTGCCCTTTGGGAAGGAGCAGTATCTGTGTGCATGTACACGGTCAAGAAATGGTTCCCAGATGACCGCTTTGGTCTAGTATTTCCACTAGTGCTTTCAGCGGGGAGATGGTTTCTCCAGCAGAGCTGGCAGAGGACCCAGGTTTCCAGGCCACTTGTTCCTCTGTCTTTCCCAGCCTGCAACCTCAGCTGGGTCAACCTGTGACTTGATCCTGTGGCCTGTAGAGTCTCAACTGGGACAGTTAAAAAAAAAAATCCTTTCACCATGATTTTACCGTTAAATCCTCTCTTTCGTGCTCTTCCATTTTTGAACAGGAAACAACATTCTGGGCTCTTCTTTGCTTTCTGTTCAACATTCTATTATGAAACATTTTAAACATACAGCAAAGTTGAAAGAAATTTATGGTGAACACCCTTTACCTGCTAATAGATTCTGCCGTAAACATTTTAGTACCCTGGTTTTATTGCACAGCTATCCCCATATTCATCATTTTTGGCTCTTTTAGTGATATCTCTCTGGCATTTCATAGACATCATGGCACAGCGCGCTAGGAGTGTGAGTGATGGAGCCGGACTGCCTGGGTTTGTTTGAATCCTGGCTCTGCTATTTAATAACCCTGTGACCTTAGGCAAGTTACTAAACCTCTGTGTGCCCCAGTGTTCTCATCTGTAAAATGGAAGTGATAATGCCAACCTGATGGGGTTCTGTGAGATTTAATGAATCTGTATATATGCATAGCAGAGGCCTGCACAGAAGCTACAGCATACTAACCATTTAGTGCAGGTACGTGCTAAATTAATTTCTTGGATTTATTTTTGTGACTAATTTGGGATTTCACAGATCTTAGAGAGAAGCAACTGTGCACTTGGGTACTGTGCCAGACATTTTATGTCCATGGCCTCATTTGAGTCTCAGAACCCCCTTAAGCAGATTATCTCTTTCGCTGTTGAACAAACTGAAGTCTAGTAAGTGGCAGCAATGAGATTTAATCATACATCTATTGTATTTCAGTGGTCATAATCTCCAGGCTTTGCCCTTTTGCCTTTAATCTTAAAATGGAGAAAGTTCAGGATCATGTCAGGCGGCAGAGATTTCCACGGCTGGGAAAAACCGTCATCTGAACTCTGGGAAACAGGTACAATCAGCCAAGATGGTATCATTTTGGTGTGACCTTCAGCTGTTGAAGATCAGTCTTGTGGAAGAAGGGATGCCTTGCTATTCTTTTTGTATCTTATTAAAATACTTTCCTTCCCGTTAGCATTTCCAGTTCTGGGTCTTCTTGCTGCCTGGAGCTCTGGCTGACCTCACTGGATAGGAATAAATTTGGGGTGCTTTATCAGTGCCATCATTTGTGAACAGTTGGACATCTCAGATGCTAGAAATTTAGCATTGGAGAGTATCAAAAGTAGCAGACTTACACTTTGTTGTTCAAAATCTCTTATGGAAAGAAAGGTTAGAAAATAGAAATAAAGGTGAATATTGTCTGTCTCACAGATGTGGATGTTTCGAGGAGAAGCCTTGCCCCAGTTGGTCACTGCAGGGTGAAAGTTAAGGCTTTGATAGAACCTAGGTCTCTGAGAAGCAGTCCCCAGTAAGCTGTGTTATGCAGAAACCTCAGGCAGTAAACAGGAGACTGAAATGAAACCCTCACCTTTGTTTTCTCACTGGAGTTCCTCACTCAATTCAGATTCAGTCCTTTCTCCCTTTTCCATTAATTGTAGGTGCTAATGTGTCTTTAACTCCCCATAACATTTGCTAATCTCCCTTAATAATTGAGAGGCTAGGCAGTTTTTTTATGACACCATCTTGCTTTCATTGTGTGTGCCTTTAGAGTTACCTTATTTTTATAGCAGCTGGTTCTATATGTCTGCTTACAGAGCTGATATAAAGTTTCCAATTAAAATACATTTAGTTACATAAAAAGAAACTGGTTTGTTGTTTAAAGCTAAAATGGAAGAGTAGAATGGTACTCCAGTGTGGCAGAAGTTATGAGGATGGGATGCAAACGATGGCAGATTTTTAAAACACTAAATGATCCTCAGGGTTGTCTGTCCAGTCTCCATTGACAATGGATGCTCTGGGCAGAGGGCACATTTATCAGATAGTTGCATCTGCTTCGAAGATGCTCAGTGGAAAAATCATTTACACCCTACAGCTGTTTCTTGGCTAAGAAAAATATGTGCAGTAGGTTCTGGCCTCCTTGGAAGGTTTTAGAGCAAAGCTAATTATGCCTCCGGGCTTTGGCAGGCATGGCTGTTTTCATGAAACAGTGCTCAGTATCGTCAGCACCTAAAAGAGGTGAGTCGGATGCAGATGTTTTCAACTTCTCATTGAAATTCTTTGCATTTTTTATGTGGCCAGACATCCAAGGAATGGATGCTGTATATCTTTTAGACTTCGGGTGGCTTCATAAGGTGGAGGAACATCAAAAAGGGGCATCCTGAGGGAGTCCCCTAAAAGTGAATCCAGGACAAGTTGGAGGATTTACATGATTCTTAGGGATTCTGTGTAGGTGGATAAAGATGTGCAGCTGCTCAGAAAATCTGTCTGAGCTGAGTTAGCACTAAATAACCTGCAGTTTGGAAGGGGAAGCTAAGGGCAATATCCTTATCTTGGAAAGAGAAGCGGATAGATACTCACCGGTAAGAATTTGTTGGCATTCGTGGAGCCCAGAGAGCAGGAGCAAATGGGAGAGAAAGATTTTTAGTTGTATAACAGGAGATTCCTTCTTTGTTATCTCAGTGACTCATGCACTCTGGGAGGAGTTCTCATGGGCTCCCTCCCTGACCCGGGGACTTGAGACCCACTGGGAATATCAAGGCAATTGCAGGTGAGCCTCTTTCTTCTTTCCCAGGTCCTGTTCCTATATAGAAGTGACTTCCTCCCACAGTTAGAGGCAGCAGTTCAACAGTTCGGCTTCTCTCAAGTCCTGCTGGTCTTTATATTTCCCTGGGGATCTCTGGCAGTAAGGTGTTACTGGTGGCAGAGGTACCCTGTGAAAGAGAAAGTGGGAGGATAGGGAAGGACATGGGCAGGGCAGTTACTGGGTTTATGGGGGAAAATTGTGTCTCTGTCTGCAGTGTTGCATAGTTGCCCTGCAGAGCTGTGGTGTGTTAAGGGTTAACACTCTTAAAAGTGATACTGAAGGACCAGACCCATAAAGTGATTACCTGCCAGGATTCAGCACACCCCCTGCCTTCCCTAGAAGCCTGGCTTAGGTGCTTAACCAGCCTTGTGGCCTCAGACAAGTTGCTTAACTTTAATGAGCTGCAATTTGTCTAACAGGAAAAAATGTTGACCTTCAGTCAACAAATTTTATAAAATATCTACTACATGCCTGGCACTGTGCCAGATCACAGATGCGCTAAATGGGTGAAAAAAGCAGGCTAAGTTCTCTGCCCTTATGGAATTGTTCCCCTTTCATTTAGGATTGTCATGAGATTTAAATAAAATTGTGCTTGTAAAGGACATGTCATAGGGCTTTTCTTAACATGGTTAAATAATTATTTTGAAAAAGTTATGAGCTGTCCATTCTATATTGGGTTGTTGTTATTTTAACAACAGAACTCTTGGAACAAATTACTTCATTATTTTATACACAGAAGATAAACAGTATATATACACAGAACTTTAAAAAACAAAGATTCTTTTAATGTCTTTTTTTTCTAGCTTATGAGGTGAAACCTAATTTCTTTGCCCACTGTGTCATGACTTTGAGGTAACAAGTTCATCTTCCTAAACAACAGAGTTGGAAAGTACGTGTGTGTGTGTGTGTGTGTGTGTGTGTGTGTCCTGGAAAAACGTGAATATATTTGAATAATACATTTCAGAGTAGTGTCCATGAGAACAGACAAGCCACACATGCTTGCTTCTTATCCTGAAAGTACTGATATGAGAAAGACAGTAGAAGAAAAACAACCTTTTAATGAATATCATGCCAAGTCAAATCCTATAAACCATCCTGATTAGAGAAATAATCTTTCCAAATAATTTAGATAGTGGCTCAAGTAGCTCCCAAGATGTAGCTCTAACTGAGCAATTTGTTGCAAGCATCTTTCTTCTGGGCACAATAGAACATTCACAGTGTTCATCAGGCAGGAACTTTATTAAGGGAAGTCTGACGAGAAGATCTGAGGGGAGGAATGAAGTTTGTCTTTATCGGAACATTTGTTTTTGGAAACATGTGAAACGATGTGAATAGATGTAGTTCAGCCCATGACAGTAGTGGAAAGGAAGATACCTGTTCCCCATAGTGTGCCTTTGAGGTACTGTCTAGCCACTGACCTTCTTTATGTCATGGGTATCTCCAAAAAGGTTCCATTTTAATATTATTTTACAAGATACTCAACATGTTTACAAAGGCATTCTGCTGTTTCAGTCATTGAAGAAGGCACAGGTTGTTTTTCAGTGAGATTTTTGGTTTCACATTTTTTGTTAATTTACATAAGGAATCTTCAGGATCCATGTTATTTATTCAGTGCTGACACTGTGCACTTTATTATGCATGTTCAGTGTTGCTTAAGTAACTTGAGTTGGAAACAATAGCAAGTACTCTCTGGGAAGGGATAGGTAAATGGGAAGGGATAGGTTCAGAGGAAAGGGGAAATGCATGCTGGGTAAGCAGCACCAAGCATTCAGAGGAAAGGGGAAATGCATGCTGGGTAAGCAGTGCCAAGCATTCAGAGGAAAGGGGAAGTGCATGCTGGGTAAGCAGCACCAAGCATTCAGAGGAAAGGGGAAATGCATGCTGGGTCAGCAGCACCAAGCATTCAGAGGAAAGGGGAAGTGCATGCTGGGTAAGCAGCCCCAAGCATTTAGAGGAAAGGGGAAGTGCATGCTGGGTAAGCAGCACCAAGCATTTAGAGGAAAGGGGAAATCCATGCTGGGTAAGCAGCACCAAGCATTCAGAGGAAAGGGGAAATGCATGCTGCGTAACTTTTATAGGTAGGTATTGAATAATCTTTGGATGGGACAGAAACCAGTTAGTTTCCTATCCTACTTCTGATGCATCTGAGCAAGTGGAAATTTAGTCTGATGCAGAGATACTAGATAGAAACAGAAATATCCCCATCCCTCCTTGTGCTTAGATGCATGGTGTATGAAGTTCAAAAGGTTATTCTGGGACTTCATGTGACTTCAAAGTGTAAAAGGAACCTGAGTCACTTACTCATCCATCTAGCCTATCAGTGTGCTGGCCTTTGCACTGTGCTGCCTCTACCATGGAAATGACATCTGAGTCCCTGCCCATCAAGAGCTTGTAGCTTAGTGACCAGGTAGGGAAAATCAGCAGTCATGATGGAATATTAACAAACAAGGTAGGAATGCATATAAATGGAGCACTTAAACCCATTTCTCAAAATTTTTCCTCCTGTGGCCACATAGGAGAAAGGATGGGGAAATTATAGCAAAAAGTAGGAGAACTGAATGGGTAAAGGGCACCAAGAACCCACCTTCCTGCACAGTTCTGCTCAAGGGCAATCATGTGCATATTCGTGTGGCCAGTGAGACCCTTAATTCCAGCTCCAAACCTGGGTAGTTTTCTCCTCTGTGATTTTCTCCTCTCTGATCAGTATAAAATACTGAAATTAAATCATGATTAGGCACTTTTTCATTCCTTTGGAGCCATTCCCTAAAACAGACCTCCTTTTTTGTTTGGAGACCACAGGGACCACTGACATCCTAGTCTTAGAATTGTTTGCCCTTAGAATGGTTTGTCAGTAACCACTCTAAAAACAGATGTCTGCCCACCTTCGCCCCAGCGATCTTCAAAGATGTGTAACCGTCATGAGGAATGTGAACTATGACTTGGCTATAGGCGGTTCAGTGAAATAGCTGGAGATTTTCCCAGCAGAACACTACAGCAGAATTGTCTAGACATCACTTTCTTCTTATCTAGGGAGGCCTTTCTGGGAGTTTTTCCACGTGGGGAATCCAGGCTCAAAAGGAAATCAGCTTGACTGTGTAAAAAACCCATCTGGGGTGAATTTAAATCATTTCTGAAATGTACCAGGTTGAGGTCACTGGTTTGAGAACATAAAAATATCTGCCTGTATTGTTACTGCTAGTATTGAAAGAGAATTTATTCATTTGTCCACTAAGGCTTTATTAAGCACCTACTGTGCATAGACATTATGTTTTTGCCCTAGGGAATCAAAGATGGGCAGAAATGTGCTGTTCTTTGTAATGAATCAAGTAATTATGCAGATAAGGGTGTAATGACAACTTGAGTAAAGGGCTAATAGGAAAGGAACAGCATTCTAAGGTAGCTAGAAGCTGGAGGGACCCAACACAGAGTAAGTGGGAGTCAGGGAAGGCTTGGAAACCATCAACTTGGGGTGTGTTTGTAATGTTTCTAAGGGTTAACCAGGAGAAAGTCTGGAGAACCCCAGGGTCTGTATCTTTTGGAGCTACCATGCCCTCAGAGGCATAGGGAGAATTTGAAATCATTTGTGCTTTGGTATATGTAAGAAGCACTGGAATTCTTTCTGTGTTGGTGAAGGGACAAAATGTGTACTTTTGCTTCTAGGACCATGGGCTTTGGCTTTTTGCCTCACATCTGTGGGCCATGTCATATAGAGCCATGCTGTCTTTTGTAGGGCTGTTGGAAGTAAAGCTGTCCACACTGAAGAGGTCATCGAGACCAGGTTAGCCCGTGCTTCTCAGGGTAGCTGCTGTAGAGAATGCTCAGCTTTTACGATGGCTCAGGGCATTTTGTGCCAAAATACTAAATGATGTCATCATTGTAACAAGAGAGCTATACTTTGAGACCCTAGGCCCTCTACGTGTACACCTCTTCTTGAGATGGATGGCATATGTGCCTCTTTTATGCCATAAAAACACGTCTTATTGAACCCAAACATAGTTTAAAATACTACTGAAGCAATTTCTCCATAGAGTTGTTCCTACATGTTAATAATATTGAGCTAGGTTTAGAATGTCTTACATACTTTTTTTTCCTGTGCAAGTCTAGACAACCTGGTTTAGATATCAAGGTTTTATGAGTTCCCTTACTTGTATTTTGGAGGGGAGCCAGAGGGAGGTAATCACAAACAATCACAGAAATCATAACGGTGTAGTGGATGATGTATCAAAAATTCAGCCCAACTGCATAATACCGGCTCCGTCTAGAATTCGAATAAGACAGCAACCCAGAAGCCCCTTCTTGGAGTCACTGCCTCCTCTCCAAAGGTAAACATTGTCCCCACCTCTCTTTCCACCATTGAGTTCTGCTGGTTTAGAGACTTGGTGTAAATGGATTCATTCAGTGTGAGTTGTTTTGCCCCTAGCTTTGTGATTGCAGTTTGTCTACATTTGTATATAGCTGTAGTTTATTCATTTTCATTCTCGTAGAATATTATAGCATGAAGATGTCAGCATGTGTTCTACTTGCCGTGACATTTGTGTTGCTTGTAGTTTGGGACTGTTATGAATAATATATATCATTATGGCCATACATGTCTTTTGATAAGTATGCATGATGTACTTGCATGTCTTGAGGGTGTACCCTAGAGTGGGACTGTACGTGGGATTAGGCCATAGAGTATGCACTTACCTAATTCCACTAGATAATTCCAAATAGCATTCCATGGTGTTCCAGTTTATATTCGCACTGGAAGCACATTAATTTCTGTTCCTTAATATTCTCACCAGCAAATGATATTAGCCATCGTTTAATTTTAGTCATGTGGAAAGTCTGCCTGTCTTAAATATTTTAAGTTGATCATTATGGTATCTGGGTGTTTTGCTGAAAGAAAGGAGGCTGAGGTTTAGAGTCCAGGACTCTGAATGAGTTTGCCTTTCACCCTGGGTGAAGGGTTCCTGGGTAGCAACATTGGAGGCTTTAACTGAATGTAGGTCAGTCTTCTTAGACCTCAGCCTCTGGAATCTATGGGTCAGAGTCCAAAAGCCAGTGGCAGGCTGTGCATACTTACAGTTATTTAATCTCTGTGAGCCTCAGTCACTTCATCTGTAAAACGGGGATAATTAAAAATTCCTCACAGAGTTGGTATGAAGAGTATCTGAGTCAATCCACCAAAAAGCACATAGTTTCCGGCCCATCATCATTATAAAAAAGAAGTTATGAGGTCCCTGTGAGTCACAGGAAGAAGTGGCTGGCTACACTGCTTTGGAACACTTCTATATTTATTTTAGTTTATCTTTTTTTCAAGGGAAACAAAGTTATTTCACAAGAGCATTAGACGTCACAACCCAATATATCCTTTCTGGAACTACCTTGTTTGGGTGGCTCTGTGTGTTGTTTTGAAGGATGGCTCAGCAGGACCATAAACACTATTCCAGCCCAAGGCTGCTCTGGATTTGTGTGCCGTTGACACGAGGGCAACAGAGAAGGAAATCATCTTCAGCTTGTGTTTTGACACAGAGGAGTTTTGTTTTTCCTTTGTCAACTCTGCATCCTCCACCGAAAACAAATAAAACGCTCCAGTGCTGGTAAATAGTGCGACTGGCAGCCGGTGTTGTTTCCTTTCCTACCATTGCATGGTGACCGAGACGGGCATTTTAAAAGATCAGTGGTTGTCACGCTGATACTCAGAAGAGAGCCGTAGCGATCTCAGAAATGCAAGACTGATGTATAGACAATAAGAACCACAAGATAAATTTTTCTTTTGAGGGAAACCGTGACATTTCAAGGAGGAAAACGTGCACAAGAGTTAGGTGGGTTGTTTGCATTTCTTCCCCTGAGCACCCAAAATTGTCATACCACCTCTCCTGAGCTTTAGGAGAGACTCTTAAAGACAGTTGAGCTTAACTTCAGTGGCTTCTTGGGCACTTCTTGGCCTCATGCTGCTGCATTTGCCCTGCTGGACAAGACCCCGCTAGAAACAAGGTGCAAGCCAGGCCCATTGGTTAGGAGAGGAGAGCTCCTCAGTTCGTAGCTCCCAGGGGTGTGACTCGGTGGAATTTCATTTATAATTATCTGTTACTTTTCTTAGTTTAAAAAATATATATACCTAATAGTGTTTTCTTTATTTCCAAACCTCTTTGTGTTTGAAGAGAAGATAAGGAAAGACAAGCCAGACAAGAGACAGGAGAGGTTAACACCGCTGGGCTGTGAATTTACAGGACAGGTATGCATGCCTCCATGTAGTCTCTCATGATCTGCAAGATCTGGGGCAAGTTCCTTAATTTCCCTAAGGCTCAATTCTTTCATCTTTCCCTGGAGACAATTGTTAGGAGGGTTGGGTTAAAGATAACAAATGCTAAAGAGCAAAATGTGAGAATTGCAAGAAGTTTAACATCTCCCCTTACTTAAAGTACTTAGAGTGGATCAGTTCATGAATGCTCAGAGCAGCCCTGTGGACTGTGTGCTCTAATCTACAGATGTGGACACTGAGGCAGAGAGTGTGTAAGTGACTTGACTCACTGAGATTACTTAGGTAATGAGTGGCACAGGTGAGATTTGAATGGGAGGCTGTTTAGTTCCAGAATTCTCTATCCTTAATCAAAATATTGCCACTGTCTACTCCCCCTCCAAATAGCATACCGCCCCTCTCCCCCCATTCTTCTATCTATAGATAGACTAAATAGACTTCCGGTTCACAGTTTGGCATAACTGTTCCTGTGTAATTTGAAGCAGCAGATCTGAGATCCAACAGTCCACTCTATATCTTGGTTATTTCATGATCTGCTATGTCACAAACATATTTCCGCGTCAGCACCTGTAACTTTACCCAAGTAAAAAATTAACCACCTTGACAAGAGCTGGCCGTTTAGCCCAGGCCTGGCTGGGACTGTCTTTCACAGCAACCCAGTTCTCTCTGGCTTGCTGCCTAGGAACTGGCTCCCCCCTTCCCCCACAAAGTAGCTTCTGAGAAAAACTGTGGGAAACAAATGACTTCAGAAGTTTTTAGAAACAAAAGTGCAAACTCTAACAAATTTCATCTGGCCCAAAAATGCTATTATCCAAAAGCTTGAAAATATTTTCTTATAGGATTATTCCCCCAAGGTTGTTAATCTGAGAACTTTCCAGGCCTATTAGGCCTGACTTTTGGCCCCCTGATATTGGAGTCTTGCATATTTAAGAGCCAGAGTGTGGGGGTTGAGGTAAAAATATTTCTCTGGAGGAAATGAAGTCATTTTATTTAATATTATAGCTACCACAGGGACTCTGTCATTTCAGAAAAGGGGGTGGCAGTTCACATAACCAAGATGAAACTTCTAAATTAGTCTAAGAGACCTTTTAAAAGGCAGCAGTGGGTTTTTGGAGGCACAAATATGTATTAATTGTAACTGCAGTGAAGATTTTTTGCTCCAGTTAAGTTTTACCCAATGAACATTGTCTTTCTAGATAAATATTATTGTAACATTATCTGCCTCTTTTAGTGTTTGGCATCCGAAGCCATTTCACTTTCGGTGTTATGTGGCAGCTAGCTAAAATGTCCCTGTGCTGAGGTTATTGTGGGAGACAGGCTTATCTGGCCCTGTGAGCCCAGCACAGCCAGGAGACAAACAGTGTGGAGACAATCCTTCATTTGTTCACAGGAGCAAAGAATGTGGTGTTGTACACCTGCCTCCCTGGATACACCTGTAGGGCTGGTTTCGCTGATATAACCTCACTGCTGAGCTCTGGATAGAAGCACGGTTTACTCAGCCCTGGCAACAGTGTCAACAGTGCCTGAACCCCGAGGAACCAGGTTTCTGTGTCCTTCTCCTACTGGTTAAGTTCCAAGTATGTGGAATCTCTCTTAAGCTGGTGTGGTGAAGTCGAAACTTGGCTTATCACTAGATTTTCCTGGAACATATTTTAGATAAGGGTGGCAAAAAGTGCCAGGCCCAGCATTCACTGCCCTAAGTAAGAATACTGAGGAGCTTTATGTGAACTCACAAAGAAAGCCATTTGTTTTAATTTTGAAAACTGCTTGGGACTAGGTCAGAAGGTATAAAGGTGGCTTTCATGACCTCATCTAGCTTAATTTTTCAGCAAGTGATTTACATGCAGGGAATGTAGGTGGTTGATAACCTTTGCTCACTTGGAATGTCTAGATTCCATTTTTGGTAACACTCTCTGCTTGAAAACACTGTATACTTCTCTGTTGGAACTCTGTGTGGCCTTGGGTAAGTTACTTAACCTCTCTGGGCCTCAGTTTTCTTATCTGTACAAAAGGAATAGTGCTGATAGGATCCAACTCCTAGGGTTGCATTAAGGGTTAATGGCTTAATATTTGTAGTCCTTAAAACAGGTACATGTGAACTCATGCTGTTGCATTTACCCTGCACAATTTGCCATGCATTTGCCCTGCAGGACACAAGAAGTGTAAGGGAAGTGTTTATAAATTAAAATAAACTGGGGAATACTTTGTACAATTACACTTTGCCACAGAAATTTGTGTAGTCTTTCTGGTTGCTAAATATTCTGACACGCAGTAATTGATCCTAACATCAAAAGGATTGTTTTTTTTTTTGGTACGTAGTTAAGGTTTTTTTCTTTCCTTTTAAATATACATTCCTTAGCGCTCTTGCCTGTGTTCCCTTTGGAGGGCAAAAGTATAGGAAAAAAAACAAGTGCAAACACTTCCTTACAATATTGGTTTGTTTGTGGTCGAAAACAGGAATTGTGAGTCATGACCTGCAAATGAACAGGAATGAGCCATGGTAAAATGTCATCCTAAGAATGGGGGTCATCTTTGGCAAACAGATTCAGGAATTCACCATGTATTAAAACTGTGTTCTTAACGTGCACTCCCTGGATCCCCAAAGGGGGGGTCTGTGGATATAAATCAGAGACCCATGCATTTGGGTGGAATAAAAAGTACATCTATATTTTCCCTCACCCCTAACTGAACTTGAGCATTTCCTTCAATTATGAACATAGGCAACTACCACAGCCGGATAAACAATACCCATGATTTTCTCATCAATAGAAATCTCAGATATTTTAATATGACATTACCGTTTCTTTTGTGCTTATTACTGCTTAGAAATTATACTAGCTGGTAGGCTCATTTGTTAGGCATCCCTTAAGGAAAAGCGTAATTACGAATTTATTTTTAAGGGATTTTGTTGACTACATATTTTGTTTTAATTGCTTTCTTCTGTATTTCCACGCCTTTTATTCATTTGTGAACGTCATTCTGAGAAGGGCCTGCAGACTTCATGTGATTGCCAGAGGAGGCCAGGCACAGAAAGTTGGAATTTTAAAACTGCAAGTTTGAGCTGATTTAAATCTCTACTGGTGCTGTCCCATAGAAATATAATGTGAATTACGTGCAGTTTAAATTTTTCTAGTAGCTACTGTAAAAGGAATAAAATGGAATGGGTTTAATGAATATTAATAATAAAATCTTATTTTAATAAATAAAATTATTTTTCATTGATTAATTGTAGTTAACTAAATTAATTTTAGTAACATAGTCTATTCAACTGAATCTATTAAAAAATTGTCATTTCAACAGGTAGTCAATATTAAGTCACCAATGAGATATTTTTCATTTTTTTCTTCATACCTAGTCTTTGAAACTGGAGCAGCGTCTCACAGTTCCATTGGAAGTACTTGACCTGCATACATGCATGTTTAACAGAATTTCGTTGGAAAAGTAGATTCAAATCCAAAGACAATGAAACGTTTTCCATTAGCTGCATTGTCACTTAAATTTAAATCAGTGATGCGATGCAATTTTATTCAGTTCCTCTGGCGCGCTGCCACCTTCCAAGTACTCAAGGCTTACGTGTGGCCGGTGGTTCTCTTATTGGGCATCTCACTAAGATAGCACGTGATCTTTTGTTATTCTGTGCCATGAAACAAGTGCTTGTTGAGACCATTTCTTTACGTCTCCCCAGCATTCCGCCTGTGCCCCATTAGACCCTCACTTCCCGAGTGACAACCCAGAATCTGGAGCTCTGGCTGGGTCTTTGTGTGTGACCCCAAGGAGGCATTTCCATTTAAGTAGTGGCTTTTGTAGATTAGTAGGGGGTTGGAACTTTTGCAGTTTCCATTCTAACTCATTGAAGAGGGATTTACAAATTCTTGGAAAGAAAAAGATTCTGATTTTTTTCCCTCGTGCAACCTTTGGCATAATAAGGAAATTTAATTTAC